TGGAATATAGCTGTAATGATGATGATGATAACAACAATAGTTTAATGCTTCCCCCCATTAGAGATACCCTGAAAGCAGAGCTCCAGAGCATCACACTACAAAAATAGTATAGTGTTATATCTCTCTAGGGCTGTATGGGGTGTTAGGGGAGGGGTAGTACCTCTGGTGGGGAACACGTTGTGCCCCTTCTGGGGGAGTTTGTTCACCTTTGATCCCCACCCTTCACTCAGCTCTCACCTGTGGCTCCTAGAAGCTGTCAGCATGCAACAGCGGCCACACCCTGAGAACGACTTTGACTGCTAAACCAGATGAAGGTAGCCAATGGGTCTCAAGCCCTCTGTGAGTTAGGGACTTCCTCTGTTTGTGAAGACAGGCTCTGGCGGATTGAGCAGATGAGACCAATTGTGGGTCCATGAGTCAAGAAGTCAGTTTCTGCCTGTGCTGTAGAGGGAAGTAAGAGGCAGATGGGGCTCATCAACCTGGGAAGGCAGCCCATCTAGGAGAAGGAAAACTGATTCTAAACCTCGCTGCCTTGCGGGATATTTTCAGGAGAAGAAAAGATTAAGGAGTAAACCCTACGCAAATCTGGAGTGGAGTCCCTAAGATGGTTGGATGCCTCCTTCCTGCAACTCCTGCAGCCAAGCTGCTGCCAAATGTATTGTTCTGCTTTCTTTTGGACCACATGAGCGAGGCTGAAAGGGGGGTCTTGTTGCCTGAGCAGCCCAGGACCTCCATACACACTGCCCAGGCTTGCGCCCCAGGAAAGTCACTTTGAGGCTGCTAACACAGTGGTTTGACTTCACCCCTGGAAGCGCACTCCAGACAGATGGGTGTGCAGTTTGGGTGAATCGCAACCTTAGTGATTTGGAATGGCTCAAGCAAGTGAGCCCTGCTACAAGTGAGGCCACACCCACCCACAAAAAAAGCCCTCAGGAATGCTACATGCTTAAAGCCTTGCAAGAAATTATAAACAGCTGGGGCAACTGCCACACAGGGGTGGAAGGGGGAAGACCTCTGCCCAGGAAAGAGATGGGTTGGAGTATGGGTGTGGGCCTACAGGACTGGGTTCTTGTGAGGATTATTCAGGCCATGCCTAGGAAGAATTCTGGACACTTGAACTGCACTTTTGTAAAAGACATAACGGTCTTTGACTTAGATCTGTGCCGGACTCAAAATTGTTTTTCTGTAGGTTTCTTATTGCTAAATGGCTTTGGGATGCTTTATGCGATGCGATTCAGAAATGAAATGAAGAGATGCAAGAGCTCATTGGCTAAGCGGGTGCCCCCTGGCTGGGTTCGATCCATCAAAAGAGGATCTCCAGCAGCATTAAACCTTCAAGAGCCACTGCCAGCCAGGGCAGACCAGGGCTCGTGGTCACCATTGTGCACCTGCAAAAGATAAACAACCCCTCCAAAAACCGTAATGCGCAGGAGACACTTTGCTCTCAATGGCTACCAGCCACAATCACTACGCTCTGCCTCCACAGTTGGAGTAGTACTGCTTCTGAATGCCAGTCGCTGGAAACCACAGGAGGGGAGAGGGCTCTTGTGCTCAGATCCTGCTTGGAAGTTTCCCACAGGCTTGGCCACCGTGATAACAGAATGCAGGACCAGATGGACCATTGGCCTCATCCAGGAGGTCCTTCTTCCTGCTCAGTTCCTGTGTGCATTGGCTTGGTCCCTCCTACCTTGAACACAGCTCCTCAAACATGCCCACGTTTCACTGGATGCCAGGACTGGGCACCCTCTCTCCCTTCTGTTTTGAACAGATGAGATGTGGAAAGAGCATCTCTCCGTCAGCAAGGGAGGAGGTGGGCTCCCCACACACAATTGAGGAGGCGGCTGATTGGCGGGGCATCGTTTTGCGGCCCTGCCTCTTTCCCCACTCTTTCCCGAAGTGGCACCCATTTTGTGTTGTGCTACACACACACACCCCTCTTTGGTGACTGGCACCTACGGCACTTTCTCAAAGTTCCAAACATGCCAGTTGCTGGAGCTAACAATCTTGGGCGAGTTGCTGTAATGGTGGGACACCATCACTGTTATGATGATAATGGGATTCCTGCAGAAACTGAAATTCCTGCATTTCAGGGGGTTGGACTAGATGACCCTTGGTGTCCCTTCCAACTTACTACAACTTGATGATTCTTTTCTTATTATATCACCTTCTAAACCACCATATCAAGGCGATTTATGCATAAGATAATTAAAACCATTAAACACACAAAAACAACCAATACGCTCAAAGCAAGCCTGGATAGCTCAGTTGGTTAGAGTGTGGTGCTGATCGCGCCAAGGTTGCAGGTTCGACCCCCAACAGCTGCATATTCCTGCATTGCAGGGGGCTGGACTAGATGGTCCTCAGGGACCCTTCCAACTCTACATGTTTATGTTTCTAAGACTAAAACCCCAACAAGTGGGCACTTATGGTAAACACCTGCTTATGCAGCCAGGAAAGGCCATGAGAACAAAGGGGTCTTCCACCATTTCTGGAAAATGCAGATAGTGGCTGCCTGTTGTATGTTGTCAGGAATGTTGTTCCATAGAAACAGGGGCAGCCACCTTGAAGGCCCTGCTCTGAGGTCCTGCAGAGAAGGATTCTGAGATCTTTGGAACTCACAGGAGAAACGCCTCTGCAGTGATGTACTGTGTGTTTAAAGGAGGAGGCGACCTCTTAAGTCACCTGGTTCTGAGCTGTATGGAGACTTGTGTTTTAGTAATGACACTTTGAATTTGGCCCAGTAGCAGACTGGCGGCCCATGCAGATCCCACAAGCAAGGTGCTATATACTGGTGGGAGCTTGCCCCCACAAGCAACCAAGCTACTTCATTCTGCAGCAGCTGTAGCCTCCAGACCCACACCAAGGGCAACAAGGCAGCTTCAGATATGGACCATTGTAACTTCTCTCTATCAGCCAGCCAGGTGATCCTGAGTACCCTCAGGCAGGCATGAAGGTAAGGACTGTACCTTGATTATTTGCCCCTGACACCTGGGACTCCAAGGTGCAATGCCTGTGTCCATGAAGGCTCCATTTAGCTAACATTTACAGTGCATTCACAGGTTTATCCTCCATTTGGGTATAATTATGCTGCGTTGTTGCCACGGCATCTGCCTGAAACTGCCGTTGTTCCTGTAATTATTCGATGCCCCAGGACAACAAAAACCAAAGGGGAGCAGCACATTGTCCCTTCTGCCCTTGGTCAGGGCATCAGGGGCCCTGGAAAAGATGTATCCCCTGCGTGGCCCCATCCATTGGCCAAAGAAGCAGCAGCAGTAACTTTACTTCCTCCCTGCCTCCTAGGAGGAGCGGAAGACTCCATTTCAACTGTCAGTTTTCCTGGGCTCCAAAGCACAAAGGAAGCAGACTGTCCTCTAGCACCAACCAGGGCCACTGAGAGACTGAACCCCCACATGACCCCCCAGGAAGAACACCAGGTCAAAGCGAGAAGCAGTCTGGCCTCATCCTCCAGCTAGTGAAGGAGCAGATGTCCCAGTGCTTGCATTCCTCTTCCCTCCTCATTCCTTTTTTCCTTTTGTGTCATGTCTATTAGGTTGTGAGCCAGTGGGTAGGGACTGTTCACCTTTTATCATATGCACAGCACTTTAAAAATGTCGAGCGTGAGATTAATGTTAGATAATAGCTATTATTATTGTTGTTATTATAATTATTATTAAGAATAATTTCATACAAAAACCTTGACTGCTTCCTTAAATGTTGACAAAGTTTGTGAGGGTTCCCTCTCCTCTCCATATTCTTGTATGTCAACTCACATTCAATACACAAAACTTTGATTTTACTGTGCAAATCCCCACATGCCCAGATATATAAATATAGATATAGGCATACACACCTCCCCCCACCTCCACCAAAAAAGCAGGCACATCCCTATTATCAGAAGAGCAGTTCTTCCAGTGATCTAATACCAACTGAAACCCACCGCCCTCCCAGCAACGCCCCTTCAAATTTACAGCTCAGAATTTCCTGGGAATCCTTCCAAGCCCTCCACGATGAATAATTCAGAGGTTGCACACCATCCTCAAATTGAGCAAACTTCTTCTTCCGGCTACCTTGGGTCAAAATTGCATCGATGAGATATCTCCCCCTGAGCTTGGAGGACACCTGAGAGACCCCCCGAGGAAACCCTTCCATCTCCTCTCCTTTAAGAACGGCATTTCTCTCCCCTGGAAAACTTTCCCCTCGTTTGCTCCTGGCTGCAAACCTAGAGGGAAAAAAACCCGTTTGGGGAAAAAAGACCCAACATTTTTTGGGGGAGGGGGAGGGAACCAAAGCGACTCTTTTGCCTCTGACATCCCAGCATCCACTATCCGTGTCCCTAGACAACTAAGCTCAGCTAGTCAAGGAGAAGACCAGTGTCTGTCCTTTTCCCCACCAGCCTCTGAAGGAGAGCTGTCAAATTACTGTAGTTCAGTGTCCCCTCCATCTGTCTCCCTCTCCCCCTCCCCCCCTCTCTGTGAGTATTGCTCCCCCTTTTCTATCATAGAAAACTGAGGTCTTGGACGTGTGTTGTTGGGGAGAGGCATGGCACCCCCCCCCGCCTCCCTTTGCATCGACCCAACCTCAACCAGAGTCTCATCCCGTCCAGCCTTGCTTATTTGTTTTCCAACGCATGCAGGAGAACAGGGTTGTTGGGAGAGGCCAGCCTTTTCTAAGCCTTCCCCTCCCGGGAGACACAACGGCGGACAATCCTCCCCATCCCCAGCCCTTGCATGGTGCCTCCCCCCCCTCCCCACCTGCTCTTTGCAAAGAAATATCAAGCACACAGCAGATGGGACTGCAGCCAAGATACCTCCTGCTAGCTCTGCCTCCCTCCCTCCGCCCCAGACGCTGACACCAAAACTGCTGTGTCTTCTAACAAGCCTTTGCGATCTGTAATTGTCCGCCCCCCCTCCTTGCTCCCACTTCCCCAGCAGACGCAGGCAGAGCGTACACCTTCAGCCCCCCAGCCAGGATTTTCCCCGCCCCACATCTCCTTTCCCTACCTTGCTGGAGAAGGAAGCGCAATCTTGTGTCCGTGCCAATAACTGCAGATGGGGTTTGGCCTCGCTCTTGCCAGCCTCGTTCTCCTTGGTTCCGCTGGAGCTCAGTCCTCCTGGCTCCCTGGGCCCTCCAGCCCAGGGCCAACCAGCCCTGGGACACCCCACCCTATTCTTGCACCCTCCCCAAAGCCCACCCTCTCCGCTCCCGAGCGCACCCAGCTCCCCTCAAGGCTCTTTCGGGCTCCCTCTTTGCAGCATCCTCCACTACTGAGCTTCGCCTCCTGAAGTGCTGGACAGCTCCGTGCCATAGAGCCGGCCCTGGCTTGGTGCAAGAAGGGACGGCCTCCTCCCCGATCCACAGAGCCCCCTAGAGGAGAAGAGCGGGAGGCGCAGGAGAAAGCGGGGGAGGGAATCACGCTGGATTCTGGAGAAGAGTCTGAGAGCTTCTCGATTTATTGCACTCGGCGCCGTTGGCTTTGAAAGCCGCTCCGAAAGTATTCTACAGGGAAAGGGCAAAGGGCAATGTTAAAAAGGGAAATGCCAAACAAACCGCAGGAATCAAAGAGAACCTCTTTGGAAATCGACGTTTGGTCGATGCAGAAGTTTTTCCATATTGCCATATTTTCGTAGGTCATTGTTGTGCATTTTCTCAATTTATAGTTTTTCCAAAAAGGGGGGGGGGGACAGTGAGAAAAGGCTAGTGGGGCGCAATCCTGGTTACATTTATTTGTTGCACTTCCAAATCAGGGTCTCTCAAACTCGGGTCGCCAGCTGTTTTTGGACTACAATTCCCATCATCCCTGACCTGCTAGCTATGGATGATGGGAGTTGTAGTCCAAAAACAGCTGGCAACCCGAGTTTGGGAAACCCTGTTCTAAGCTATCTTTTAGTACACACTGGGGCACCAAGTCTGGTTTTACTGCTGGAAGCAATGCAATAAGGGTCGCCCTGCCCTGCTGCCATCCACTCCTTGCCCCTGCCAAAGCACCCCCTTTACCTAGGTTATGTGGCACCAGGGCAAAGTGTGATGGTGGCAGCAGCAGGTTCTGCCAACATCTCAGCTGAAATTGGCACTGATGCCTGTGGCGTTTCTCCACCAACAGTGGAGGTGGCAGTGTAGATGCCACCTCAGGGGTTTCTGCCACCTGAGGCAGTTGCGTCACCCCGCCTCATGGGTGGGCCAGTCCTGAGTGCACAACTCCCAGGATCCCTTGTTGTTTGTTAATACAGAAAGCCCATTTGATATTGTTAGAGCTTAGTAACAAAGAAGCAGGTGTCTGGTCCAAGGAGCTTAAGTTTTTAAACTACAGTACAGTGGTACCTCGGGTTAAGTACTTAATTTGTTCTGGAGGTTCATTCTTAACCTGAAACTGTTCTTAACCTGAAGCACCATTTTAGTTAATGGGGCCTCCTGCTGCCGCCACTGCACAATTTCTGTTCTCATCCTGAAGCAAAGTTCTTAACCCGAGGTACTATTTCTGGGTTAGCGGAGTCTGTAACCTGAAGCGTATGTAACCCTAGGTACCACTGTAGTTGCCAACCATTGTTCTAGATCAGGCTTCCCTGCACTCGCTACAGCTGATAGGCCTTGTAGTCCACAACATCTGGACTGAGGCAGATGGGAGCGGTGGTCGAAAACATCTGGGTTTGGGGCTGATGGACATTACAGTCCAAAATATCTGGGCTGAGGCAGGTAGCAGTTGTGGTCAGAAACATTTGGGCAGGATCTGTTGCAAGCAGTGGTGTGAATCATCTTTGCTGGGGGCTATAATCTAAAACTTTTGGTTTGGGGCTGAAAGGAACTGTGGTCCAAAACATATGGCCAGGTTGAGAAAGGCTGTTCTAGAGTTCTCCACTCCTCCACAGCAGAGATATTTTTGGTGGGGGGGTATGTGTGTGAAACCTTGTCTCATTTTTATCAATTTATTTTCCCAGACGCTTCTTTAATTTGAAGCAACTTCTGGGATCTGTTGTGCGGCTCTCCTCACATTAGCAGAACGCTGTAGCAGAGCGAAGCTTGGCGTGTTGCTGCTGCTGCTGTGCGGTGCGGTAAATCACAGCCAGAGAAATTAAAATCCCTAAATAAACCGGTAAATGGCAATCATAAAACCTGCAAACACCCTGCATAAATCAGGAAGGGAAGCCTTTCTTTATATATATAGTAGAGTCGAGGAAGGGGTTGGGTGAGAGCAAATGCTTGAGGACACTTTGGGTAGAAGAGAGAAGACTGAAACGAGAAAGGAAGGTGACTGTGGGGTGGGTGGATCCCTGTGGGGCAGGGGAGAAAGAAAGTTGTGGGTCAGAGCACAAACAGAAGGTTGCAGGCCATGAACAGATACACAGCTGGAATCAGGAAGGATGCAGCATTCCTTAAGGGAGCTCCATGGTGGAGCATCTATTTTGCATGCAGAAGGTAAGAACATAAGAAGCATCTGATGGATCAGGCCAATGGCACATCTGGTCCAGCATCTTCTTCTCACAGTGGCCGGCCAGGTGCCCAAATGGGAAACCCACAAGCAGGACCTGAGCACAAGAGCCCTCTCTCCTCCTGTGGTTTCAGCAGCTGGTATCCTGAAGCATTTGCTGCCTCCAAGTGTGGAGACAGAGCAGAGCTATCATGGCCAGTAGCCACTGATAGCCCTCTCCTTCTCCATGAATTTGTCCAGGCCTCTTTTAAAGCCTTCTAGGTTGGTGGCCATCACTGCCTCCTGTGGGAGGGAGTTCCACAGTTTAACTGTGCACTGAGCGAAGAAGAACTCTTTTACCTGTTCTGAATGTTCCAACATTCGGCTCCATTGGATGTCCGCATGTTCTAGTGTTGCGAGAGAAGAAGAAATACTTTCCTCCAGCCACTGTTCCCATGCCATGCATAATTTTATGACCTTCTAATGTCACCTCTTGCTCACTGTGTCTCTCTTGGTATGCCCTGCGGAGGACCTTAAGGTACACAAATGACAACATTTTGGAGGTCCCAAGTCGCAAGGGGGTTAGATTGGTCTCAACTAGGGCCTGCGCCTTTTCAGTACTGGCCCCAACTTGGTGGAACGCTCTGTCACAAGAGACTAGGGACCTGCGGGACTTGACATCTTTCCGCAGGGCCTGCAAGACAGAGCTATTCCACCTGGCCTTTGGTTTGGACTCAGTCTGACCCTTATGTTTCCCTCCCCTTGTGGTTTGATCTATGGCTACTTTTTTTTTCTATGGGCTACTATTAAAATGAGGCTGCATTTTAAATTATATTTAACCTGTATTTTAAATTGTTGTTTTTTCCTATTATGTTTTTACTGTAATTTTACTGGTGTTAGCCGCCCTGAGCCTGGCTCTGGCAAGGGAGGGTGGGGTATAAATTAAATATATTATTATTATTATTATTATTATTATTATTATTATTATTATACCAGTGGTTTTCAAGCAGTGTGCCATGGCACCCCGGGGTGCCTTGAATGATAACCAGGGGTGCTGTAGGCAACACTGGCCTCTGCCCCTCTTTCCTCCTCTGCCTCCTCTGATGCTCTCTCGCATCTCTGCCTCCCAAAGGCTTGCACGGCTATTTGTTGCAGCAGCCCTGGCTACCAGCTCCGCAGGCGAATGGTGCCTCTAGGGTTGGCCAGGGGGTGCTTCCTGGGCCCCTGTGGGGCAGTGTGAGGAGGAGGCACCTGTCTTTGGGACAGAGGGAGCAGCTCAAAGACCAGGAGTAGCAGCTGCAGCTGCCTGGAGGACTCCCAAGAAGAGGAGAGAAGAGGCTGAGAGAACGCTCCCCAAGGGAGGGTGTTCAAAAAGGGGTGAGGGGCTGCCGGCTCTGCAGGCAAGGGGTGACATAACTGGGCTTCTGAGCCCTGCAGAAAGAATGTAGTTGGTCAAGGGAGCAGGTTGAAAACATCTGCTCTAAACTAAAGAAATCCGAAATGCTGCAGCCTTCTTCACAGGGGAGTTGGTTCACCCCCTTGATCACTTTGGTCTCTCTCTGGACACAGGTGAAATCCCTGGCATCTCCAGGTGTGGCTGAGAGAGACGCCTGTTGCCGATACTGAACCGGATGGACAAATGGTCAGTATAAGGCAGTTTCCTATGCTCCTCCTGAAGGCAGCCCTTTATTCAGAATAATGGCCAGAATCTTGCTTTGGCTAAGGCATCTGCGTTTCATGCAGCAGGTCCCAGGTTCAATCCCAAATAGCATCTCCAGGCAGGGCTGGCAGAGGCTGCTTGTCTGAAACCTCTAAGATCTGCTGCCAGTCAGCACTGGACAAGGAAAACAAAGGTGTCTCAAAGGTGCCTTACTGCAGATAGACCCAATGTGTTTCAGGACAGTTGCCTTTCTTGGGAGCTCAATTCCTTACTGCTTTGAGAACTTGATCAAGGTTCTTAGCTGGGGCAATCAGAATAAGGTCCGCTATTTGACTGCTGATTCAGGACCCTAAACTGTGTTTTATATAATCGGCTTTTTATTTTGTTCTGTGTATATCGCAATGTCGTTTGTTGCTATGGCCGATGGCTGACGCAAATAAAGTTCCATTCATTTGAGAACTTGATCAAGAAACCTCTCTTAAAGAAACTTGCCTTGCAAAAGACCTTTTTAAAAAACTGTGGACTTTGCAGAAAACTACAGCTAGCAGCTGGATGCTTGCAGGACTTAGGAAGTGAAGTGACAGGCTGTAGTTCAGTGGTAGAGCACATGGGCATAGCTGGGGGGGGCAGGAGGGCAGCTGCCCCCCTAGATCCACAAAAATTATTGAAAAGCATTGAAAGTACTCAATTAACTGAGGTTCTCTTCCCCCAGCAGATGCCCCCCCCCCGGTATTTTTGTCTGTGATTTCCCCACAAAAAGCTCAACATTTTTGGTGGGTAATCCCCTTAAAAAAAGCTCATGCAGCCCAAGGTTGGAGGATCTATGATCCTCCAGATATTTCTGGACTCCAACCCTCTGACAACTGGCGATGCTGGCCGAGTTGATATCTTCTGGCTTCTTAAATAATAATTTTGATGTTGTTGTTTAGTCGTTTAGTCGTGTCCGACTCTTCGTGACCCCATGGACCAATCTGTCCTTCCAGTGAGCACTCAGGGCTGATTTCCTTCAGAATGGATAGGTTTGATCTTCTTGCAGTCCATGGGACTCTCAAGAGTCTCCTCCAGCACCATAATTCAAAGCATCAATTCTTCAGCAATCAGCCTTCTTTATGGTCCAGCGCTCACTTCCATACATCACTACTGGGAAAACCATAGCTTTCACTATACGGACGCTTGTTGGCAAGGCGATGTCTCTGCTTTTTAAGATGATGTCTAGGTTTGTAAATAACAATAGGCTTTGCATATCTGGCTTTCAAGCACGAGGACTAGAAACT